TTCTGATTGAACCAGCTGATGAAGAAGCACACCATACTGAAATGCAATCAATCTATCTTCTGTACACAGGGCCGGCTCCAGGGTTTTGGCCGCCCCAAGTAGCCCCCCCTCCTCCCCAAAAAAAGCCGCGATCGAGATTGCAATCTGCGGCGGCAATTCGGCGGAAGGTCCTTCGCTCCGAGCGGGAGTAAGGGACCATCCGCCGAATTGCCGCCGAATAGCTGGACCTGCCACCCCTCTCTGGAGTGGCCGCCCCAAGCACCTGCTTGCCAGGCTGGTGCCTGGAGCTGGCCCTGTCTGTACAGTACTAAAGTGGGTCATATAGGAGTCCTCTCACATCAGAGGGGTTAGGATAAAGAAATTTCTGAGGTGGGAACATCATGGAGTTTCCTTTTCCCATTGTAACTTTCCATGGGTTTCATCTTGAGAGGATGCTGTCCGGCCTGGGATATGGAGCCTTTCTTTTCTAGATCAATGGTGTGAATCCAACCCAAATCCACAGTGACTGAAAGTTACCTTTCAGTATCCTATGTGAGAAGGACTGGAACTATGAGTTCACTTCTTAGTGGATATTTTTCCATGCCGTAACCCCCTCAATCACCATTGGTATTATCTTGTAGTGTTGTTATAGCTGTGTTGTTCCCAGGATATTAGAGAGACAAGTCAGGTTAATATTTAAAAATAAAAAAAATCAAATGAAGATTTGTTGTATTGCTAAGACAAGGTGAGTGAGGTAATATCACTCCACACCACACCACTGACCTAACTTCTGTTGGAGAAAGAGACAAGCTTTTGAGCTTACACAGAGCTCTTCTTCAGGTATGGGAAAGGTACTCCGGTAAATACAAGCTGGAACAGATTGTTTAGCAAAAGTAGTTAACACATATTCTAAGAGACCATTCAAGGTGGAATGGCCTGTTAACACCTGACCATGACTCATGACCATGACTCATCTTTTGAAGGATTCCTTTAGAGGACTGAGAGGTCAGATACAGAGTGATCATTTTGTGAAAAGTGTTCACCCATGGGTGATATGGGCTTTTTGTCTTTTATCGTTGTTCTGTGTGAGTTTGTTTGAGAGCATAGTAATCTGGTTTCATCCATATAGTTGTTATTGGGGCATTTAGTGCATTGGATAAGGTATGCCACATGTTGGGATAGGCATGCATAGGACCCATGGATCTTGAAAGATGTGTTGTGGGGGAGTGTTGATCATCATAGCAGTAGAAATGTGTCTGCAGGTTTTGCATCTGGCAAGATCTGGTGCTGCTTTGAGTTGGTGGGTTTGATCTGTGGGGAGCTTGCTTCTGATGATTACCTTGGCAAGGTTGGGGGCAGAAGTTGGTCCAGAAAAAGATATTACCTCACCCATCTTGTCTCTGTCTTTTTTTTTTTTTTTTTTTAGCCTGAGTAGAGAAGCAAAGAAATGAATGGGCATGAAGTCTAAATCATGCTCTCCCTCTGAGGTCTTGTCTTCCTTGGAAACTTTCCCCAATTCTAGCAGTTAATAGCCATCTGCCAAGGTAGCTGCACTGGTGCAGTGCTCAAGGGTAGACAAGGAAAGCAGTGATTTGCATGGTGGACTTACCCAAGTTTCAAGCAAGTATAAGTGGTGCTGGTGCAAACTGAGGCTTTCTTTGTCTGTACTTTGGGATTAGACCACTGCAATTACATCAGTGGCTGTCCCTTGGTTGCTGGCATCAGGGGAAATTCTCAATGTAAACAAGGCCTTAGAGAGAATCCTTCCAGGATTAGCAGCGTGGGGAAGCTTTACCGTTGTTGTTGATACCAAATGTGTGCTGTGGAAAAATAGTGACCTCCAATAGCTTAACGATGGCGTAAAGATTCACTATTGAGTATGAGATACCAGGCATATTTTTAATATAGAATGGGATATATTAGCAGAAAAACCTGACAGCCAGAAAATATAGGGCCGCTGCTTTTCACAATACAATGGTCTTTGCACTTTCCTGAAGATGAGATGACCTGGCACTATTAGCTAATGGGTGTCTCAGGCAAATATCTGCTCTCCACAAATACCCACAGAACTAAATGTAGCTTTGCACTGGTTTTCTTTTAAATATGTTTAGCGCTCATACAGGGACCAGTCGGACAGTCCTATAATACTTAGTCCTGCCTTGAGTGCAGGGGACTGGACTAGATGACCTCTCGAGGTCCCTTCCAGTTCTATGATTCTATGAAACTGAAGTCCTCTTCCCGAACAAGCACACCCCACAGGCAACAGCGATGTAACCTGCTCCAAACCATGCTATCTATGTACCTCACACTTAGCCCGAAGATCTAACCAATTGAAAGTGAGGGAAATCCCTGCAAACTGCATGTACACTTTTCACAGACACCATAATAGAGACCCAACTTAAATGTATACCCCAAATTAAAAAGCACAGTAAAAGAACTAAAAAAGAGACACTGTGGCTTAACAACCATGTAAAAGAATCAGTAAGAGATAAAAAGGCATCTTTTAAAAAGTGGAAGTCAAATCCTAGTGAGGTAAATAGAAAGGAGCATAAACACTGCCAAATTAAGTGTAAACATGTAATAAGAAAAGCCAAAAAAGGCGTTTGAAGAAAAGCTAGCCAAAAACTCAAGAGGTAATAACAAAATGTTTTTTAAGTACATCAGAAGTAGGAAGCCTGGGGCCCCTGGACGATCGAGATACAAAAGGAGCACTTAAAGACAATAAAATCATTGCAGAGAAACTAAATTAATTCTTTGCTTCAGTCTTCACGACTGAGGATGTTAGGGAGATTCCCAAACCTGAGCTGTCCTTTGTAGGTGACAAATCTGAGGAATTGTCACAGACTGAAGTGTCATTAGAGGAGGTTTTGGAATTAATTGATAAACTTAACAGTAACAAGTCACCAGGACCAGATGGCATTCACCCAAGAGTTCTGAAAGAACTCAAATGTGAAATTGTGGAACTATTAATATGGTTTGTAACCTGTCCTTTAAATCAGCTTCTGTACCCAATGACTGGAAGATAGCTAATGTAACGCCAATATTTTAAAAGGGCTCTAGAGGTGATCCCGGCAATTACAGACTGGTAAGTTGAACATCAGTACCGGGCAAATTAGTTGAAACAATAGTAAAGAATAAAATTGTCAGACACATAGAAGAACATAAATTGTAGGGCAAAAGTCAACATGGTTTCTGTAAAGGGAAATCATGTCTTACTAATCTATTAGAGTTCTTTGAAGGGGTCAACAAACATGTGGACAAGGGGGATCCAGTGGACATAGTGTACTTAGATTTCCAGAAAGCCTTTGACAAGGTCCCTCACCAAAGGCTCTTACGTAAATTAAGTTGTCATGGGATAAGAGGGAAGATCCTTTCATGGACTGAGAACTGGTTAAAAGACAGGGAACAAAAGATAGGAATAAATGGTAAATTTTCAGAATGGAGAAGGGTAACTAGTGGTATTCCCCAAGAGTCAGTCCTAGGACCAATCCTATTCAACTTATTCATAAATGATCTGGAGAAAGGGATAAACAGTGAGGTGGCAAAGTTTGCAGATGATACTAAACTGCTCAAGATAGTTAAGACCAAAGCAGACTGTGAAGAACTTCAAAAAGATCTCACAAAACTAAGTGATTGGGCAACAAAACGGCAAATGAAATTTAATGTGGATAAATGTAAAGTAATGCACATTGGAAAAAATAACCCCAACTATACATACAATATGATGGGGGCTAATTTAGCTACAACTAATCAGGAAAGAGATCTTGGAGTCATCGTGGATAGTTCTCTGAAGACGTCCACGCAGTGTGCAGCAGCAGTCAAAAAAGCAAACAGGATGTTCAGAATCATTAAAAAAGGGATCGAGAATAAGACGGGGAATATCTTATTTCCCTTATGTAAATCCATGGTATGCCCACATCTTGAATACTGCGTACAGATGTGGTCTCCTCATCTCAAAAAAGATATACTGGCATTAGAAAAGGTTCAGAGAAGGGCAACTAAAATGATTAGGGGTTTGGAACGGGTCCTATATTAGGAGAGATTAAAGATGCTAGGACTTTTCAGTTGGGAAAAGAGGAGACTAAGGGGGGATATGATAGAGGTACATAAAATCATGAGTGGGTACGGAGAAAGTGAATAAGGAAAAGTTATTTATTTGTTCCCATAATATAAGAACTAGGGGCCATCAAATGAAATTAATGGGCAGCAGGTTTAAAACAAATAAAAGGAAGTTCTTCTTCACACAGTACACAGTCAACCTGTGGAACTCCTTGCCTGAGGAGGTTGTGAAGGCTAGGACTATAACAGGATTTAAAAGAGAACTGGATACATTCATGGAGGTTAAGTCCATTAATGACTATTAGCCAGGATGGGTAAGGAATGGTGTCCCTAGCCTCTGTTTGTTAGAGTGGAGATGGATGGCAGGAGAGAGATCACTTGATCATTACCCATTAGGTTCACTCCCTCTGGAGCACCTGGCATTGGCCACTGTCGGTAGACAGGATACTGGGCTGGATGGACCTTTGGTCTGACCCAAAGGTCTGGCCATTCTTATGTCCTTATGTTATGTTCTAAAGAGGATATCAGTCTCCATGCCTATTCAGTCCTTGACCCCACTCCTGAGACTGTTAGCAAGGGTGCTAGTCACAGTGGTGATCTTAATGATGTGAACAGCCGTTCTGTAGGAACTAGAATGAAATCACTAATTCACTTCACATAGGACACAGCCATTTCACATAGGACACAGCCATTTCACATAGGACACAGCCATTTCACATAGGACACTGAGCAACCAGTATTTGTTTACTACTAACCTGCGCCAGTTTTGAACTGGAGGTAAAAAGCTCTACATAGTAGCGCCTTTCTTAAATAAATGGTTAATTGAAAATATTTTGCTTCATAACGAGTGTCACATACTTTAAAGTTCTCTCCAACAAAGAAAGAAAATTATTGCCTTGTAAAGTCTCACTGTTTTTTAAACTGTGCCATAACCCATACTTTCCTCTCTCATTTCTTTCCAGAGGGGTGAGCTACAATGTGCACTGGAAAGTGTTCAAAGTGCATTGGGGTCGTGTTGTTCCCATTAGCTGTATGTGCCATAATCTCCAATCTTCTCCTGTATTTCCCCAATGGAACTGTTATAAAGCCCGACCAGATAACTGATTTGGTCTGGTTTTTCCATGGCATTCTTGGAGCTGGGATACTGGTAAGAGAGAAGTTTTGACATTGTTGTTGTTGTTGTTGTTTTTATTTCAGCTTTTTAAAGCTTATCAATGCCTCTGTCAATTCCAAATAACAATCCATGGGGGCTGCCTTTACATTTGTAGATGACACAACTTATCTGTGGGGAAAAGTCTAAAACTATCTGGGGTCTAAAACTGAAAAGGCAGATTTCCGGAGGACTAAGGGGAAATCACCTATATAAAAAAATATAACTTCTTTATGAAAATCCTGGTGTACAAAGAAATTCAAAATTCCAATTATTAGAGGAAACAAAAACTTTGGCTTTTCATTATTTATGTAGTAAACACACACACAAGTTTCTTTGCTGTTCACATTGAGGCTCAATGTGTAAATTCAGCTTCGGGTTGTAAGTTCTCACATTTATTGAGTTGTGTTGCCTTGTTGCTCCTTTCATTGATTTTATTCTCACCTTTCATGAGGCACTGAAGCTTGTTTGGGCTTGCCCTTATTGGAGCTGTTGTCAAAATCAAGTAGTGCTGAACTGCGCCTCTATTTTGTGAGCACTGTTTGAATTCCAAATAGCTGTTATGAAAATGGTTGAACCTATTTTTCTTTTGGTCATTTTTCTGTGAACATGTGTGTGACCAGGTATTTGTCCAAATGCATGTTTGGGGAATGCCTGTTCTTTGTGTGAATTCCCACAGTTGTATATGGATTGTGTTTGAATAGATCATATGAAGTGCTTGTCCTTGTCTATACATTTTCAGTCATGCAATCAAGGAGCAGGAAAAAAAGCCATGCAACCGAGGTGACCAATCATATACCACAAATAATGAATAGTAAAGAGTCTAAGTGAATAGACCACAGACATTAAATAGGCTGTCATCTCCTCACATAAAGGAGGAGATGAAATGTACTCCTCACTGAATATTTATGAACAACAAATCCATAAAAATCAAAGTCTGTTCTCAGTAAGGCCCTGATCCAAAAGCCACTGAAGTCAATGGAAAAACTCCTATTAAGTATAATGGGCTTGGATCAGGCCCATATTTCACAAACAGAAAAATGAGTAAATTCTCTGCTATGAATAGCTTGCCTGGCTCTTCTTGTATGCCATCCACCTACTCGATAGGCCTATCCCTCATGCTGAGCCTGGATGTATGAACAGGGAGTCTGAACAAAGCTGAAAATTGTACCACAGGTACTTGTGAAAAATTCAGACCATTCCAAGCCCAGGGGCCACTGGCTTTCAATGAAAGAAAAGACTAATGTTCAGCATGAGAGCCCTGTGTCATGTTCACAACATGACTTCTCCTAAGGGTTCTAATAAGGCTAGGCTGTGGCCAGGATGGTGCGCATCAAAAATGGACACTGCGAGGGGAAGAGGAATTTGCACTGATCTCCAAAACACTGACAACAGCACTATGAGTAGTTTTTGATCAGCAAAATAGTGCTGTTAAGTGTATGAGTTTTCCATGAAATTATGTGACAGACTGAGAAAGAGATGTGAATAGACAAAGCGTGGGAGAAGGGGGGTATTATCCCCACATGACAGCAAGGGACCTGAAACATGAAGAAATTAAACAACTTGTTCAAGGTCACACAGAAAGTCAGTCTCACACTGGGAACTGAATCCAGGTTCCTGTGTACCACGCCAGTGCCTGAACCACAAGAACAATCTTCCCATTTAGTAGCCAGCTTTGGCTCATTTCAACTTTGCTCTCTCCTTGTCTCCCATGGCTGCTTTTTAAAAGACATGCCCTTATTAAAACAGAACAGAGAACTTTATTTTGCTTAAAACCCCTCAATTTCCTTATTTTGCAAATTCAGACATTTAAAGCAAGGAAGAATGACTCATTTGTTATGAGTACTCGATGCTGCAAACTCATCATGAGTCAATCTGCGCGTAGAATGGCACCATTGTGAAGTGACTGAGCCCCACCTAACACATAGACCCCACCTCACTGACACCAGCATACTGGCAAATTTTCATTCTAACCCCAAAAGGCAGGAAGTTACAGATGCTCAAAAAAACGAGACGCAACAAACAAGCCCTGCACTCCAAACAAATGAACTTGCTCCAAGCAGAGACAAAATAGCCCACTCACAGACTGGCTAGGAGGCCTTCAAGGAAAACAAAGGTAGTGAGGGAAGCAGGGCTGCTGATTCAGTAGATGGCACTCTTGACTCTCAGTCAATACTCTAAAATGGCTGAGCAGGGTACTAGAGGACACTATGTTGCTGGGGTTGCACTGTTGACTACCTCATTGCACTTTTCGCAACAGGAGGATTTTTTAATCCCAATGTCCTAGCCAAATTCCAACAGAAGTATTTTCATTCTGTTCACATAAATTCCCCACTGAGGTTCAGTTACAATGGACATTATATTCTTCGCTTTCTGCCCATAGCACTTGTGGAAGTGTTGCTATGAGCTGTTAAAGGGGCACTGTCAGGCTGAAATCTAGTCAGTTAAAAAAAAAGAGTTAGTAGTTTCAAGTACTCCACCTGCCCCCAAGTCCGTCTTTCTTTCCATTCCCTGGTTTGACAGCCACAGTTAAATGCTTTTCTCTCCCATGTTGCTGCATGAAAGAGTTACACAAAAATAACAGTGGACTCAGCTGTTTTATGAACATAAAGGGGGATTCTTTATGCTGGTTACTGGACTCAGACAGACCATGTAGTTCTACAACCAGTGTTGTCTAGGGCAGTGTTTCTCAAACTGAGGGTCCATGAGGGTATTCCAGGGGGTCCGTGGGCCCCGCTGATCAACTCTTCCCCCTTCCTCCCTCAAATCCTCCCCATCCCTCCCAGCACCTCCTGCACACCAGAGAACAGCTGTTCCCCCCCCCCCCGCCCTGGCGTGCAGGAGGCGCTGGGAGGGAGGGGAAGGAAGGAGGATGGGGGCGCTTGGGGGAGGGGGTGGATAGAGGCAGGAAAGAGGCCGGAAAGAGGCGGGGCCCGGGTGGAGCAGGGGCAGGAAAAGGTGAGGCGGGGGTAGGGCCTTGGGGGAAGCGGTGGACTGGGGGTGGGGCCTGGGGCTGGGCGGGGGGATTGGGGGTCCCCAGCAAAATTTTAAAATCAAAAAGGGGGTCCTCGGGTTACTAAAGTTTGAGAACCGTTGGTCTAGGGAGACTCTATGTGGCATGATAGGACATCCTGCCATGGCACAGTCATGGACGGGACTGCTGGCTACACCCTAACAACTTGACTCCAGCTAATAATTACCAAGGATCAAACTGAGCTGAGCTCAGAGAGTGTTGACTGAATTGTGTTGTTTGCACCTTCCTGTGGTCTAATACAAAAGGTCAAATTCAGGGATGATGAATAAGATGGCACAATTTAAATTCCCTCACTCTAATTTAGGACCAGATTCTCAACTGGTGTAAACTGGTGTAGTTCCACTGAAGTCAATGGAGCTACATTGGTTTACACTAGCTGTGAATCTATCGTTTAGTCCCCTTAATACTGTACTGAACTTCCTTAGAGTCAGTTGGAATACCATAGAGCTACTTAAAGTCACTCTTCCTGTGCGCAAGAGAGTCTCAGTTCGTGTAACATACAGTGAAGAGCCAGAAGAAGCTAAAGTAGCTTAATCCTATGACCCCACTTAATTCACACATTGTTGTCCAACTAAAGCTGAGTACGTGGAGACCTCACACATTCATTCAATATGTTCTTAACTTACAGGTTATTTTGCCAGCATTTATGATGCTGGGCGCAGGTGGAGCTGGATGTTGCGCTAACAGATGTGGGGTAAGCAACAATTTACATGCTGAAAAGGGCAATCACTGTGATCCGTGAACAACAGCCCTTAAGTGGGAGCTGAGCAGATGGAAAGGCACAAAGCACACAACCACTGACAGTCCAATCCCCCCAATACAGAAATAAGGCTTGACTTGCAGAATCCCTGTGCTTGGCCCATCACAGGAGCAGCCTCATCTAGCAAGCAAGAATGTTAATATATTGGAGCTGTTTATATAAACTACACCTCTACCTCGATATAAAGCTGTCCTCGGGAGCCAAAAAATCTTACCGTGTTATAGGTGAAACCACGTTATATCGAACTTGCTTTGATCTGCCGGAGTGCGCAGCCCCGCCCCCCCAGAGCACTGCTTTACCACGTTATATCCAAATTCGTGTTATATCGGGTCGCGTTATATCGGGGTAGAGGTGTAAGACCTATCCCAAGGACAGATTTGGGGCATTTAGCCACAATAATAAGTAGAGTGGAGTGGGACAAAGCAGCACTACCCCACTCCACGTGGAACAAATCACTGCTCCAGTTTGCTGGTGAACAGGGGTAGTTGGCAAACTATACCATCCTCTAGGGTGGCACAGCCTAGCCCCTTTCCTGTGGCTGTTCATGTGAGGACAGTGCCAGGGTCTCATGCCTCATGATGCAGAAGTAACATACCATAAAACTTCTTTGCTATATATCATGATGCACAAGGGGGCCAAATTAAGAATTGCAACCTCAATTCTGGCATTTCCTAATTTCTGAGTGCTTCACGTTTCAATCTTGAATGTAAATTTTTTGTAGCTTCCTACGTTTTTAAAAAAGCAAGCTGAAAAAAAACCCAGAAATTTCATCATGTGGAACCATAATAACCTCCACATGTTTCACCAATAGGTTTGGAACTTTTAGATCTACAACACAAACCTCTGCCATTTGACCTAAGGCAGTAACCAATAGCAGTAGTAGGTTGACATCCTCTATGTAGATCAGCCACTCAAGGAAAATGAGACACATTTTACCAGTGGGTTTTACAGATATTTGCTGACAGCAGAGAACATTGAAACTCAGGAATCCCAGGTTCGATTCCATGTTCTGGACTGGAGAGTTCTCTAGTGGCTAAAGACCCTTCCCCTTCTGCCCCTTCCTGTCTTAGTCTTCATCTCCCTCCCCAGCTTCTGTAAGTCTCCACCACAAAGCTACTTTCTTCTCCTCCACCACCAATGCAACTGGAGCATTAAGATCACTGGACAGACAATCTTCCTGGTGGCACCACAGCAGCCCCCAGTAGCTCAGAGGAGCAGCTGCAGGGAAATTCCTGCTCAGCCCTTCAGCGCCAGCGTGGAGCATGCTCAGTCATGGTGGAAAAACAATGTATTTTCCCTAATGTTGTTCCTGGAATTGGCTGAACCATTTTATCCAAAACTTTCTAATAAATAAATCCAGGCTGAGCCAGACACCCAACATGAAAATTTTTATCCTAAATGGTTAAAGTTTGGCAAAGTTATAAGCAACCAAAACTGCATCTTATAGCAGGAAGTATTAGGCAACCCTAATTAAAGGCACCACGGGTAGCACCACTTATAAAAGTTTTCCATATACAAACAGCAACCAGATACTTTTAGATTATTAAAAGTGGCTGGTTGAGGGAACCCAGGAGATGCAGTGAATCAGTCTGATGGGCTGCCACCACTGGCGGATCTGCTATGGAACTCCAGACAATTAAAGCCATCAAGGAGTAAACACCAGGGAAGGAGAAGAACTACTTGAGCTAAAGGACAGTGCTAATGTAATGCCAGTCGTTGGTAGGCGGGATCGAACCTGGGGCCTCTAGGAGTTTAAAGCATGAGCCTCTACCACATGAGCTAAAAGCAACTGGCTCTTAGCTAAGGCTGAGAGCAGACTCATTAATTGCTCTGTAAGTGGTCTTGGTGGCACTAGATGGGACAGAACACCACACCCAGAAGGGGTGTGGGTTACACTAGCACTAGAACAAATGGGTATAAACTTACCATGAATAAATTTAGGCTGGAAATTAGAAATAGGTTTCTAACCATCAGAGGAGGGAGGTTCTGGAACAGCCGCCCAATAGGAATAGTGGGGGAAACAATGTAATTAGTTCTAAAATAGAGCTTGATAAATTTATGATTGGGATTATCTGATGGGGTTGCCTGAAAAAGCAGGAGACTGGACTCGATGACCAAGGAGGTCCCTTCAGGTATGAATCCATAAATTTGGGGGTCATACTCTATGACTGGTGAATTGCTAATATAGTACCTATTTTTAAGAAAGGGAAAAAAGTGATTTTGGAAATTATAGGCCCGTTAGTTTGACATTACAGCCTACAATGGGTCATACTGAAAGGTGAACTGTCAGGCTGGAGGGAGGTTACTAGTGAAGTTCCTCAGGGATTGGTTTGGGGACCAATCATTTAACATTTTCATTCATGACCATGGCACAAAAAGTGGGAGTGTGCTAATAAAATGTGCAGATGACAGAAAGTTGGGAGATATAGCCAATATGAAGGAGAACCAGAATATCATACCAGAAGATTTGGAGGACCTTGAAATTTAATAGTGCAAAGTACTAGGTCATGCACTTAAAGACTAACAGTGAATATTTCTGCTATAAGCTGGCCTCATATCAGTTGGATGCAACAGAAGAGAGGAAAGACCTGGGTGTATTGGTTGATCCCAGGACAACTATGAGCCGCCAATGTGATGCAGCCATGAAAAAGGCTAATGCAATCCTAGGGTGCATCAGGTGAAGTATTTCCAGTAGAGATAGGGAAGTGTTATTGCCATTAAAAAAAGTCACTGGTGAGACCTCATCTGGAATGCTGTGTGCAGTTCTGATATGCCATGTTTAAGAAAGATGAATTCAAACTGGAACAGGCACAGAGAAGGGCTACTAGGATGATCAGAGGAATGGAAAACCTACCTTATGAGAAGAGCTTGGCTTGTTTAGCCTAATAAAATGAAGGCTGAGTAGAGATATGATTGCTCTCGAAATACATCAGAGGGATAAATACCTGGGAGGCAGAGCAATTATTTAAGTGCTAATGTTGATGTAACCCATGCCTGTTGGGTGTGGTGCTCTCTCCCCCTCTAGTGGCACCTAGATCACCTAGAGATTAATGAGTCTGCTACAGCCTTGGCTAGGAGCTTTTAACTCATGCAGTAGAGCAGTGGTCCCCAAACTTTTTACCTCACGTCCCCTCTTACCCCTGTCCTCACACACCCCATGGAGGCGGGAGCGGGGCCATGGCTCCGGGAGAGTGGGGACGTGGGCAGGGGTAAGTGGGCCAAGGCTGGGGCCAAAGCTGGGGGTTGGAGTGGACCCTCGGCGGGGGGCTGACCCTTGACCAGAGGCCAAGGCCTGCAGCCGAAGCTGGGCACAGAGCCCCAGGCGCAGGATGGGCAGCCGGGACCCTGGGCACAGAGCCGGTAGCCATGGCTGGGAGCCAATCCCCAGGCACGGGGCCAGCAGGCGGGACCCCGGACATGGGGCAGGCAGCCAGGAACCTGGGCACAGGACCAGTAGCCATGGCCAGGAGCAGATCCCCGAGCACGGGGCCAGCAGCCGGGACCCTGGGCACAGGGCCAGAGCCAGAAGTGGAGCTGGGCAGTGCTCCCTCCCCGCCCCCCTGTGGGGGCTGGTCCAAGCCCCAGCCACACACCCCGGAACATTACTCTGCACTCCCCTAGGGGGCACACCCCCAGATTGTAAACCTCTCCAGTAGAGGTTCATGCACTAAGCTTTAGTGCAGGGGTGGGGAACCTTTTTTCTATAAGGGGTCATTGAGCCACAGAAAAAGTCAGTCGTGGCTACACACAGCCTTGAGGCGGGGCGCAGAGGCTCGGGGCTTCTCTTTGCAGCACGGCGAGCTGGCGCTCATGACTCCAGCCCCGCGGGAGGGCACAGAGGCTCGAGGCTTCCCCTAGGCTCCGGGGTGAGGCCAGAAATGAGGGGTTCAGGGTGGAGGAGGGGGCTCTGGGCTGGGGCAGTGGGTTGGGGTGCAGGATGGGGTAAGGGCACCAACGGGGGGTAAGGGCTCTGGGGTGGGGCTGGGGATGAGGGGTTTGGGGTGTAGGAGGAGGCTATGGGCTGGGGCCAAGGGGTTTGGAGTGCGAGAGCAGGCTCAGGGCTGGGGTAGGAGGTTGGGTGCAGGAGGAGGTTCGGGGTGCGGGCTCCAGGAGGGAGTTTGGATGTGTGTGGGGTTCCAACCTGGGGCAGAGGGTTGGGGGGCAGGTGGGAGTGCGGGGTCTGTGAGGGAGTTTGGGTGCAGGAGGGGGAGACTTGCGACAGGCTGGATGAAATGAAGCAGCGGGCTGGATCCAGCCCGCAGGCCGTAGGTTCCCTATCCCTGCTTTAGAGGTCCCAGGTTGGATCCCACCCGCCAATGACCGGGGGTCTATCAGAGTTGCATCAACACAAGAACAAATGGATATAAACTGGCCATCAACAAGTTTAGGCTTGAAATTAGACGAAGATTTTTAACTATCAGAGGAGTGAAATTTTCAGAAGCTGGGAATGGGCGATAGGGCACGGATCACTTGATGATTACCTGTTCTGTTCATTCCCTCTGGGGCACTCGGCATTGGCCACTGTCGGCAGACAGGATACTGGGCTAGATGGACCTTTGGTCTGACCCAGTGTAGCCGTTCTTATGTTCTTATGTTCTGAAATAGCCTTCCAAGGGGAGCAGTGGGGGCAAAAAAACTAACTGGCTTCAAGATTGAGCTGGATAAATTTATGGAGGGGATGGTATGATTGCCTGCAATGGCATGTCGTCAATCTGCGACTGCTAGCAGCAAATATCTCCAACGGCCGATGATGGGACACTAGATGGGGGGTCTCTGAGTTACTACAGAGAATTCTTGCCCAGGTGTCTGGCTGGGGGGTTTTGTCGACATGCTCAGGATCTAACTGATCACCATATCTGGGGTGAGGATGGACTTTTCCCTCAGGTCAGATTAGGAGAGAACCCAGGAAGGTTTTGCCTTCCTCTGCAGCCTGGGGCATGGGTCACTTGCTGGTTTAAATGAGTGTAAATGGTGGGTTCTCTGTAACTTGAAGTCTTTAAATCATGATTCAAGGACTTCAGTAACTCAGCCAGAGGTTCTGGGTCTATTACAGGAGGGGCTGGGTGAGGTTCGGTGGCCTGTGATGTGCAGGAGGTCAGACTAGATGATCACGATGGACTCTTCTCGCTTTACAGTCAGGGAGCGAGCCTCCCAGCCCAGGTAGACAGACTCGCACTAGCTCCGCTCGAGCTAGCACGCTGAAAATAGTAGCATGGGTGGCAGCTCAGGCCAGCCACCCGAGTCCAAGCCCACCTGGCCCCCTGGTCTGAGCGTGGGTTCTAGCCTGAGCCGTTGCCGATGCCACAACATCCACACTGCTATTCAAGCTAGTGCAAGTCTATCTACTTGGGCTGGAAGCACGCTCCCAGCTGCAGTGTAGACATACCCATCCAGTCCTATGTTCCTAAATCTGGGCCTCATCCATCTCTGCAGGCAGGTGGGATGCAATTTGCACTTTTCTTCAGCCCAGGGGGTAGCTGCACCAGAGTTGGAAAGATTCAACAACTTCAAATTCCTGCCGCAGTGAAGCAGGCCCCAAATTACGGTTGTTATTATTTATTGCCTAAAGTGCAAAACAGATAAAGAGGGATTCCCTTTCCATTCGCAGTCTGAGGTGTCCATAATACTCTGTATCCACAGAGATGATGTTCAGGGTCTTCTCCCTTTCAGATGCTGCTCTCTGTGCTGCTGGCTGCGCTGGGAGCTGCAGGAGGGGTATATTGTGTGGTCATCTCATCCTTGGGATTGATTAGTGGGCCTCTTTGTGACACTGGTGATGGAAAATACATCTACCCTTTCCGGAATGACACATTGACGTAAGTATGACGTACTGACTCTTTCAAATTGCAAGGGCCAATTTTTGAACCCTTCTAACAGGAAATCTAGGTTTTTCTTAAACGAATTGATGTTCTGCGCTATCAAATCCTGAATCTGTATTATTCTGAGCGAGCAGGCCCCAGCCGTCCTTCACTTGGTCCAAGTTCTCTGGCTCATTCTCTGGGAAGCTGCCTGCTTTAGTTTTGGAGGACATGGGTGCTTTGTTTCTGTTGCGCTATTGACCAGACTTGTGTGATGGCTGTGCAATACTTTCACGGGACTGTATGAGATTTGAGCCTTGACTCCTATTAAAGTCAAAGGGAGTCACATGGCTAAAACATCACACAGTTGGATGGAAATCTGCCAAATTGAGCCCTCTCCCACATCCCTCTGAAAAGCAATGCAAAAATCTCTCCATTAGCTTTTTGCAAGTGAACCCTGACAACATCTTGCAAAGTAGACTAGAGAATTCTGATGAAACTGGGTGAGATATTGCAACAGATTATGGGCACATTTTTGATATTCTGTGGACTTCTGTATTTTGCCATTAAAATTGTCCTGAAACAAAACACAGGATCTTATGCAAGCAGCCATGTAATGCAAGCCTAATGCTCCATGGCCCTGCACCTTAAGTTGTCAATTACACCTTTCCAAAGTGGCTATAATATGCTACCAGACCACTATGTTAGAGTTTAACATTCACTTTACACTTTGAAAATGACTTCTAAAGATACCAAGGAGAGAATCAGACCCAATCTTTGAGGTACAGCTCTTAACAGATGAAGTCTTTTTGAATCACTCTTCATAATAAGTTGTCAATTATTTTTTCTACTTACAGAGACAATTATTTGTTTAATCAGACAACATGGAGCATTTGCAAAGAACCTGAAAACGTTATTATGTGGAATATTGTCTTGTTCTCTCTTCTCTTGGGGATTGGTACAATTGAAGCTGTTCTTTGCTTTATTCAAGTCATCAATGGACTTATTGGATTCATATGTGGCACATGCATGAGGAAAAGAAAGGTGAGTATCTGATGTAAGATATCACAAAGTAAATATTATTTTACTAGTATTTTTCAGACTCTATGATAATTTTAGCCCCACTTTTGACAGAACCATAGTAAATTGTCCTGATAGTGTATAATATCAGATATGTAAACAAATGATGCAAATCTCAAGGGCTTTTTAAATAGTTGGACAAATAATGAAAAGTAATGCCCATTTAAAAAACATAACACTATTTATTCCCACATGGAGAGGGGACAAAGGGTCTGATGCTGTGGTTATTTAGGACTACCTTTTCAAAAGCGACTAGTGATTTGGGGAATCTCAATTTGCAGGTACTGAATTCGAGCTACATAAAAATATCTGATTTTCAGACAATATTTAGCACCCACCGTCTGAAAAGCAAGTGTCTCAGGGTGGGCACTCAATAACAGAGGCACCCAAAGTCACAAGTCACTTTTCAAAATGTAGGGATTAAAGCCCATCTATGGACATACAGGTTTCAGGGTCATGTTATCTGTGGGTTGTAATGAGGCAGAAAGCTTTTCTTGGCTTGCAAGTCTCTTCTTTTGCAAGAAAAACACCTTTACATTTCGATTTCTCTCCACAAGGAGGTTGTGGGTTTTTTTTTGCCATTTATTTTAACTTAATAAGATTCCTGTAGCAAGCCTGATATCCATCTGGAACTTTAATTAACTTGACATTCTTTCCTTCCTTGCCTTTCAGACACATATTGCTGAAATGTAAATCACCTACAAAGAATGCTAGTGACAAGCATAGACCTGCGAGGATTCATGTATAATCATAATATGTTGTGCTGTATTTGTGGGGAAAGAGGAACCCCAAGATGTTCAGGAGTTTCAGAACAACTCCAGAATATTTTATAAAGATATCTGGATGGGGGGGTGGATTATCTAGAACTTTTGAGGTCAAAGATTCTTTTTTGTCTCCGCTAAGTACCCAGGCTAAATCTCTGGTATTGGCAACATGATGCTGTCTTTTCAAGAGTGCCTGGCATATATAAACATTCAATCACAAACATTCTCCAATTAAAATTCACTGCTTACCCCGCAAGTGCTGCCCTATGTAGCAAGCATGTCACTTTGAAGTGCTGACTGTTGTATACGGGAATCTGGACTGAATGTAATCATTGCCAATATAAAGATTTATCAGCTTTACTGAACTCATCCACGCTGGTTGGATGTCTAAAGATGCTCATTAATACTCCCCAAACCCTGTCCTGGCCCTGTGTAAAACTGGAATGGATTCTCTGGCAGTGCTCTGTCTATGTTTGCAGTGTCGTTGTAACCGTGTTGGTCCCAGTATATTAGAGAGACAAGGTGAGTGAGGTAATACCTTTTATTGGACCAACTTCCGTTGGTGAGAGACACAAGCTTTCGAGCTTACACAGAGCTCATCTTCAGGTCATGCTCTGTCTGTTTCTATCAGTTTGGTACATAAGCACTGGTCTTCGGTCATTTAAAGGTCTGGCTCAGAAAGAGTATTTTCAGGACCTAGCAGTAGCAATGTTGCTTAAATAGTTCCAATATTTGTAGCACATGGAGGCCCTGTGTAGCAGGCAGTTGGCCAGTATCTAACCTGCTTTAACCTCTGTGGAGCCAGCCTCCACTCACACTTCTGTGTGTGCTGTAGGAGGCTGTGGTGGTCTATAAAGTGCCAATGCTCCACTGAAAATCAGCACTTCAAAGGCATGTTATATAGCAACCAGCTAGTCAATAAGTAGCCTCCTAAAAATGTCAGACTCACTTCCAGGGGAGTCTGATATGCACATCCTAGTGTAGAACATTTTCATACTCAGTATTTAATTTTTTTTAAATTGCATTTCTGATCATTCTTGTGCACGCTTTTCTGAGAAACCGAAGCTAGCCCCGAAAGGCACCAACTGGCATCATTCTCAGTACTAAAGCAAGCATTGAACCCACAAAGTGCTGAGTGTGAGATCAAGCCCTAAATGCTAAATCCGTGTGATTGCTAAAGTCTGTGATTTCAGGAGTGAATTCTTTGACATTTTATTGGCCACTTCAAAGGTTAATTCCTACAGTTGCCACTGATTCTTCTGCTTAAGACAAAAAGTAGTAAGATATTTTACATATATATATCTGAAGCTCTTCAAAACTGCATAACTGTAAAGTTAGGTTACTTTGGATCTGTTTTGCGAAAGGAGGAACCTTTGTTTCCTCTTTCAAAAATGTTTTGACTATGGCATTTGATCACACAAATGGACATTTTCCCCTGTGCCCATTAGGAATTTGCACACAGAAGTATCCGGTCACTCGTGCTGTCACCTGACATATGCATGCAGATCCCTCATTTGAACAAATAAATGCTGGTTATGTTCAGGCAACAGGTGTATTTTAGGGGTTGCAACTTAAGCACCAATATTTGAAATTTTTGCCCATCATGTTTTAAAGCATATTCTCTTAAATAAAAAGCATGAGAGAAATACACAGGTTGGCTGAGGTTTTCAAACACAAATAAAGGATTTGGATGCATCCAAATTCTTTAAGTGGCTCCGAAAGTTCCACCTTCGCATGCAGTGAAGTATGCAAGGGGCTATGATCAGAGATGAGGGTCACAGTACTACTGTCCCTTTTACTGCAGCAATCTTTTTATTTTAAAACTGCTGAAAAATGAAATAAAATGCGGCGCTTTCTTTGGCTAAATTGTGTAAATTTTGTCCTTTCACTGCATGAAAACGCACTGCAGATTACCCTACATTTAACAATTTAAATGGGTTGCTTATTGTCATGTCCTGAGAAATGTGCAGCTGCTGTAGAGTGACCTGTATGAATGTGCTTCTAGTGTATTAAACCCTTTGAGCCTGATTCTCAGTTACACTAAGGGGCCACAGTGTAACTGAGAATTCAGGCCTTTGTTCCTAGCACTTCAGCAGTGCTTCACAGCCAGCGTGCGATCAAATGGTTCACAGCCACTGTGCTGCAGCCATTAGTTTACGCAGACAGAACCTGCTAGCAACCAGCTCTTTTCACCCACCTCTCCTCTTCACGCAGGTCCATGTGTCTGCCCCACCCTACACAAGCTGTCACGAAGGTCCTCTCCTAGGCCAGCTGGCCTGACCCTCGCCTGACTTTAAGCCACTGATTCCCCTTTCCTTGCACCACTCAACTCTCCAGACATGCCCGTAGTGCTGCTTGCTTCACTACTGCCTGCCTGCTTCTCTTGCTGCTGCAGCAGCAGCATCTACTATCTGCTACTCCCACTCTCCTCTTTCTTGCCTACCCCTCTGCTCTGGCTTCTGGCTGCTCCTGCTCCTAGACTCACCCTCCTCCATCACTCCAGCTCCGACACAGCCAATCATCAGCCACCTGACCACCCCGCACCCATTCTACCCCAACTAGCCTCCCACTTAATGCTATTTCTCCCAGGGCCGGCCCTGGCTTTTTCCCCCCCCCCGGCAAAAACCCCCCCCCCCCCCCCCCCCCCCCCCCGTGGGCAGCCCCCGCACGCTGCCCCCACCCTGAGCGCCTACTTTGCAGTTCCCATTGTCTGGGAACTGCGGCCAATGGGAGCTGCGGGGCTAGTGCCTGCGGGTGGGTCAGTGCACGGAGCCTCCCTGCCCCCACCCACCCTAAAAGCTGCTGCCAGAGGGATTTGCTGGTCACTTTCGGGAGCCACCCGAGGTAAGCGCCTCCCACGCCCCAACCCCCTACCCCAGCCCAGAGCCTGCACCCCGCACCCAAACTCCCTCCCATAGCCTATACCCCTCACCCGCTCCTGCACCCAAACTCCCTCCCAGAGCCCGCACCTCCTCTGCACCCCAACTTCCTGCCCCAGCTTGGTGAAAGTGAGTGAGGGTGGGGGAGAGTGAGCAACAGAGGGAGGGGGGATGGAGTGAGTGCGGGTGGGGCCTAGGAGAAGAGGCGGGGCAGGGGGCAGGGCAAGGGTGTTTGGGTTTGTGCGATTAGACAGTTGGCAACCCTAGTAGGGATGAAACCTAGGTCTTTTAGCACCAAACCCACAGGCTCTACCATTTTACCTGAAGGAGTAACTCCTTCAGCTGTGAGTATGCAACAGGCTGTTATAATTGCTGGGGCCAGCTATTAGAGGGAGGCACAATCACACACACAAACACACACCACAGCCAGTGCATTACACGCATATTTCTGAAACCTTCAGCAATCATGAAGTTTAAATGAATTCCCAGTAGCCACTCAAACACTTGAGAATGATTAATATTAGGGCCCTGTACATGACTGTGAACCAAACCCAACATTTTTATTCACAAAAATATATGCCAACTACTTTGTGGCTTATTTGACCAGCTCTTCTCCCAGCTCAGGAATAGTCTGTTAGACCCAGGCAACCAGACATCAAAGGGAAGATGGCAGCCCCTCGATTCAGATAGTCAGAATCCACATGGCTGTTGAAGACAGTTTCTATGACTTCGGACAACTCCGAGTGCGATGTCATTATTAAGAACTGGTATAGCCAGGAGATCAACCAAAACCCAAACAATTCCCTCACGTAAAGGGGTCAGGGAGGCAGATCAGTGATTACACAAGCATGTAGTCAGAGTGTGAGAGAGAGAATCCAGCAGACATGTCCAAGCTCCAGGGGTTCTACTGACCTTAACAAGCCTAAAACGTCCATCCTGATCAGCTCACATAAACAGTCACTGAAGGTTTTGCTGCCTGGTGACTGTCTCTATGCACAAGTCAGCCCTGCTTGTGCCAGCACTCAGAGAAAGAAACTGACCTGTCTGATCTCTAGCATAAGTAAGAAAAGCTAAGTGTATTTCTGTAATCTCTTTGTTACAAGTTCTCCTGCATTAGAGGTGTTTAATGTAACGTGTATGTGCTCATGTAAATCACTATTTGTTTGTCTTATCCACCGTGGGATCATTTGTTTTATGAATATCTGTAAATATTAAATATTATTCTAAAGGTATTTTCTAGTTTGATTTGTGCTAGGGTGACCAGATGTCCCAATTTTAAAGGGACAGTCGCTATATTCAGGGCTTTTTCTTATGTAGGCATCTATTATCCCCCACCCCCGTCCCAATTTTTCACACTTGCTATCTGGTTGCCCTAGATCCTGATGGGAACCTTGGCTGTGATCGTCTCCAAAGGGAGCGAGGGGACTGAGTAAGAACACAGTCCCCTGGGGTTTGCGTGTGTCTAGAGCTCAGGCCTGTAACTGAGTAGCTGATCCATTATATGAAACTGGGCTCAGCTCTCCTGTTCCAGTTCAGGTGCTCCCAGATGGGCCAAATAAGTGGGCAGGGCAGCACCTGGGGCCTATAGGAGACCCGGTGAGAAAGAGACCCAGAGAGGCTAAAACAAAGGGAATGAACTTTACTAGCAGAAAAATTAAAGATGGGTGTATTTATATCTTTATGGAGAACAGGTGCACGCAGTTTTAAATTTTGGAGTATATGGTTTGATAATAAACTTACTTTCTATATGGCCCTTCCAAGTATTATAAACAAATGTAAAGGTAGGATTAATCTACTTAAAAGTATTGCTGGTAGCCGATAAGAAAGTCCTGGTGATGTTAGATAGAGCGTTAATAAGATCAGTCATAGATTATGGGTGTCAAGCATTGAGTTCTGCATCTGGATTGGACCTTAAAAAGTTAGAGTCAGTTCAATCTCAAGAGCTATGAATTGCAGGTAGTGTATTTCTTAGGACACCTTTGGGTGTAATGTAGGTAGCTACTGGAGAAATTTAAGAATGAAAATGTCAGATCTGACACTTTGGGCTGAAGTGAAGGGAAATAGTGCAGATAAGAACACTGGACAAATATACGAGGAATGTTGGGAATAAAGCAGACAACATTTTGCCCAATCCAATAAACTCCTTCATACTCCTAGGGTTAAAATGTGGGTAAAAGAGTTAAGTGAAAAGGAAGAACTAGGAGAGATTAAAATTATGATTGTGGGGCAGTAAATTATACTGGGAAAATTGTCCCTCTGGATGTGGATTTAGAATTATATAATAAAATAAAGGGAAAGAAAGAGTCGTCCTATATAACAGATAAAGTGTACGAGTGTGAATACAGTAACAGAGCCACCATTGATGACTATATACTGACAGATCTAAAGATGAAAAAACTGGTAGAGTGGGATCAGCCTTTTGCATCCCTGAGATGGGAGTTAAGAAATCTAAAATAATAACTAATTTGGTAACTATTATGACAGCTGGGTTGATGGGAATGGTGTTAGCATTAAACTGGATACAGGACATATGGCCTACTGGAGCTGTTACCTTTTCAGATTCACGGACCAGCCAGACACCTGGGAAAGAATTCTCTGTAGTAACTCAGAGACCTCCCCATCTAGTGTCCCATCATTGGCCATTGGAGATATCTGCTGCTAGCACTCGCAGATTGGCTACATGCCATTGCATACAATTGTACTATCCCCTCCATAAATTTATCAAGCTCAGTCTTGAAGCCAGTTAGGTTTTATTTCCCCACTGATCCCCTTGGAAGGTTGTTCCAGAACTTCACTCCTCTGATGGTTAGAAACCTTCACCTAATATAAAGCTGTAGTGAGGCGGCCTGGTTCCCCGCCGCCCCGGAGGGGGACGAGCCCCTCCGAACGACAAAGTGGGCGGAGCCAGTGGAGCTTGCGCCCGCCCCCCAGAGGTCAGGGCGCAGGACAGGAAGTACAAAAGCCCAACCCCAGAGCTCACTAGAGGCCCGGCCACCGGAGAAGCCAGACGCCTGTGGCCTAGCTCCCGGTTGGGAGACTCATGCAGTTTGCAGCCGACCCGAGGACTGGCCAGATGCCGACCAGACCCCGGAGAAGCTGGTAAACCTGCCTGTGGCAAGTTACCCAGAGGAGCTGCCAAGCCTACCGCTCGCCGGGTACCCAGAGGAGCCCATGGTGCTTGATTCCTTGGAAGACTCCGTCCAGATGCAGGTACCTCTAGAGGGGGAGGTAGGAAGTAGCCCGGGGCAGCCGACTCTAGTCTGGCTGCAGCACACCCAGAGCCGATGTCAGTGTGTTGCGGCCAGGATCCCCACTGACACAGCAGCAGGCTGCCTGCCGCTGCTAGTGCCCCGGGCTGGGACGCAGTGGAGTGGGCGGGCCTGCGTCCCCCCCTGCCACCCACCTTACGGGTGGCAGTCTCCCCCTCTCCCAGGCCGCTCGGAGCCAGGACCTGGGCCTCCTAAACTTATTTGTTTGCTCAGCCCCTGCCTGAGGGCCTGAGCTACTGACTGTTTGTTGCCCTGCCCTGACCCAGGGCCTGGGCTTGCTAATATTAAACTGTTTGCTCAGCCCCTGCCTGAGGGCCTAAGCTCCTGACTGTTTGTTGCCCCACCCTGACCCAGGGCCTGGGCTGTTATTGAACTGTTTGCTCAGCCCCTCCCTGAGGCCCCTCTCAGAGTTGGTAAGACAACTCCCACCTGTTCATGCTCTCTGTATGTGTGTATATATATCTCCTCAACATATGTTTCACTCTATATGCATCCGAAGAAGTGGGTTGTAGCCCACGAAAGCTTATGCTCTAATAAATTTGTTAGTCTCTAAGGTGAATGCATTAACAGGTGTTTTGTGAGCAAGACACGAGAAGTCATTCTTCCGATCTACTCTGCGCTGGTTAGGCCTCAACTGGAGTATTGTGTCCAGTTCTGGGCACTGCATTTCAAGAAAGATGTAGAGAAATTGGAGAGGGTCCAGAGAAGAGCAACAAGGATGATTAAAGGACTAGAGAACATGATCTATGAAGGAAGGCTGAAAGAATTGTGTTTGTTTAGTTTGGAAAAGAGACGACTGAGGGGGGACATGATAGCAGTTTTCAGGTATCTAAAAGGGTGTCATAAGGAGGAAGGAGAAAACTTGTTCATCTTAGCCTCTAAGGATAGAACAAGAAGCAATGGGCTTAAACTGCAGCAGGGGAGGTCTAGGTTGGACATTAGGAAAAAGTTCCTATCTGTCAGGGTGGTTAAACACTGAAATAAATTGCCTAGGAGGTTGTGGAATCTCCATCTCTGGAGATATTTAAGAGTAGGTTAGATAAATGTCTATCAGGGATGGTCTAGACAGTATTTGGTCCTGCCATGAGGGCAGGGGACTGGACTCGATGACCTCTCGAGGTCCCTTCCAGCCCTAGAATCTATGAATCTATGAATCTAGGTGCCACAAGTACTCCTGTTCTTTTTACGGATACAGACTAACACGGCTGCTACTCTGAAACCTGTCATTTCTTAGTGTCGTCTCTCAGCACTCTATATAAAAGACTGAAATAAAGCATGTTCCATTCTGAATGGACTATACTTTTCTTGCTAGGCTGAAGCTCACCCACAGCTACATTCAGACTCTGAAATGCACTTGGAGAAAAGAAAAGTTCCTAGAAATTATTTGAGCCTTATTATTATTTAATAATCATTTGGGCCTTATTAAATTCTTTTGGGAATTTTCTATGGTCTGCACT